TTGTCTTCACCTACACATAATAAAATCCTAATTGATCAATATAGTTGGATAAATATTACATTTGTTTATTACCATTAAATAAATATATATATAAAATATGAGCATAGATCTTAGTAAACATATAATAGTAAAAATAGTAAAATGAAGGAATACGATGAAAACAGAACATCTACTGCTAGAACATAGGTATAGAGTATTTACGTTAAATGCTGCTTTGAGGCCACCATTGTCAGCTATGTTTTCTCCCAGTGTTTGCTTCCCATTTAGCTGTAAATAATAATATAAAAATAACATCCAGAATGTTAGCATAAATTCACAAGACATTTGACTATTGTGTGTACTTTTTATGGAAAAAAAAATTTTTTTCGTTTAGGAAATCATTGACAATTCAGTTTCTTATGTTGAACAACATATAAATGAATAAATTGCATGTAAAATTACTGATGTGGCGAGAGGATTTGAAGTAGCTTTGTTTCTCGTAACAGCTTTTACGAGAGTTTGATACTTATCGAACATACGCAACACAGGCTTTAAACCAAAGTAAGAGTTAGGAAGTTTTAAGTACCTTTTTAAAGAACTGAAAACATTAAATAACTGTGTTAAGAAGGACAAAAATGGATCATGGGGCTTAAACAACCGCTTAACTTTTAGGTTAGCTACACATAAACAAAAACAATAACTTAGCTTTCAAAGTGGGATAAACATTATCATATCTAGGACTCGGACTAAACGGCCTTTTGACGTTTATGTGCAACAAACCTAGGACTAACTTGAGGTTTATCGATGTGACAAACTAAGTTTTATGAAAGATTAACCACTGGTTAGGATATACTTAGGACTGACATAATAATTTTCGTAGCGGAATAATCATGGAGCCTGTGGACTGAAGTTGACAGAACATTTATTCTTACAAAAAGTAGCCTGTGAGAAACCAACCAACTGTTAAGGCTCAACAGGGGAAAAAATTGAAAATTGAAATGTTAGTTAAAACGTCGAGGAAATAAACAATTTTCACTGGATACTGGCTATTTATTCATTAAGCAGGAATATTGAGTGGTAGCGTAAAATGTTCTAAAAATTTACTCCCGGATAAATTACAAGAATAAATTATTAATTTGTAAATTTGTATAAACGATTATTGAATATTATGATTATAGCTTGTAAGTGTAACTGATTAGTAACTAGGATAGGAACACCATTAGCAATTATGAAATGCAAATGAAGAATGACTGAAATATGAATATGTTTGTAGACAATATATATAGAAACTATACATAATTGGGATATTAACATGTTTAAAACTGATATACTGTATACATGGTAAGTAAATGACTGTGATATTAAAATGTTCATTGATAGTGCGTGTACATATATATAATTTATGCAGTGTTTTGAATTTAATTTTGGTTTTTTGCTTGGGCTTGTTTTATTCATTTAAATGCCATTTATCACAGGTTTGGATTTGCTGTATTTAGCGCAGTCCTTCTTTTTGATATTATTTTGCTTGACTGCTTAAGTATTAATTTTCTATAAATAAACATATACATACATAAATGAACTATAACTGGGTCATTAACAGGTTTATACTTACGTGTTCCTCGTTAATTACGAATGAAGAGTACTGGTCAACAAAACATTGTGTGCGTTCTTTAAATTCTTCAATTGTCTTGTTTTTCCACCACTGCTTCAAGTTTCCGTTTTTGTCATATTCTCGACCTAAAAATATAGTAGCATTTTCCTTTTTTTTGCATAAAATAATGTTCCTCAGAGGCTCAGCTGTAAGCTTGAGGACTTACAACCCTAATATTCTGGATTTTATTCCCGTGGTGGACACATTGCACATTGCTAATTTTGTACCCGTGCGCTTAAAAAAATCAATTGCATGAAATACACAGAAAGTAGCTTTATTATAAGCTTATTACTTTAATCTTCAGCGTTTTTTTTATTGAATTCTATACATTTTCTTGATGGAGTGTCATGCTCTCTCTTTTTTCCACAACTTTTACATTTTTTTAAATGTTTAATTTCGTTTCGTACTTTCATTCTATATAAGCAATATATTGTCACGTGACTCTAGTAACACGTCATGAGATTCTAGAAGGATCATGTCTGTTCCTGGCAACTTTAGTCTTTTTTTACGCGCCCTCCATTTTTGTATATATAAGCCCGGCAAATAAAACAGGGGAGAAGTGACGGCATAGATAAAGGCAAATAGGGAGATATAGAGACAGAAAATCGACTCGAGTGAGCAGTAGTGACCGTAAGTAAAGTGCGTGAATTATTGTGAATTATAGCGTGTGTTTAAGTTAAAGTGACTGTGGGAATTATGTGTATTGCAAAGTTGTATTGAGAAAGAATAAACTAGTTTTATTTAAGAAAGGACTCATATCGCTGAAGTTCTTCGGAAAGAATTTTTACGGGAAATTAACAAACGACCAGAGACGTATCAAATTCGTGTCAGAGAGTGGGACGGAAAAAAAAGAAACAAAAAGAAGAAGATGGAAACCAGATGGAAAATCAAACTACAGCTTAGCAGATTTGATGGCAGCAATACAAGAACAGCAAAAGAAACAAGAAGAACGAGAAATTAAACAAGAAAAGAAAAAAGAAGAAAGATTACAGCAGTTGTTGGAGGAAAAAGAAAAGAAACAAGAAGAACGAGAAAAGAAACAAGAAGAGAAATTATAGCAGTGGTTGGAGGAAAAAGAAAAGAAACAAGAAAAACGAAAAAAGAAACAAGAAGAACGAAAAAAGAAACAAGAAGAGAGATTACAGGAGTTGTTGGAGGAAAAAAGAAAAGAAACAAGAAGAACGAGAAAAGGAACAAGAAGAGAGATTACAGCAGTTGTTGGAGGAAAAAGAAAAGAAACAAGAAGAGAGATAACAGCAGTTGTTGGAGGAAAAAGAAAATAAACAAGAAGAGAGATTACAGCAGTTGTTGGAGGAAAAAGAAAAGAAACAAGAAGAGAGATTACAGCAGTTGTAGGAGGAAAAGGAAAAGAAACAAGAAGAGAGACAAAAGCAGTGGCAAGAAAACCTGCAACAGTGGCAGCTCTAACAGCAAAATAAACAAGAGAGACTACAGCAGGGGTTGGAGGAGAAAGAAAATAAACAAGAAGAGAGATTACAGCAGTGGCAACTGGAACAAGAAAGGAAACAAAAAGATAGTCCCCAGCAGTTGTAGGAAAGTCAGCAGCCACTTCAGGAAACTCAACAACAGTGGCAAGAAATACAAATGGAAAACATTAGTAAATTTCAAAGTGAATTAAATACACTAAAGAATGATTTACTGTCTTTTACATAAGGAGGATATATTAGCCATCGACCTAATCAGCCTCAGACAACAAGGAGCCCCTTCCAGACTCCGAAGTTAAACCCTAATGCAGACATCTTCAGTGCTGTCAGAAATCCCATTCCAGACATGAGTGTCAGCAAGAGGGGTGAACTAGTACGAAGGAAGATAGGAAGGCACTGTGGGAAGCATATAGAGCACAATTTGAGCTCTTGGCAGAAATGAATAGATGGACAGAGTAGTAGAAAGCAGTGAACCTGGCAACGAGCCTGAAGGGACAACCACTGGAAATACTTGAACAGTTGTCAGCTGATGACAGGCACAACTATAGAGCACTGGTAGCTGCTCTAGAGCTCTGGTATGGAACTCAAAATCAGTTTAAAGTCTACAGGGCTAGGTTTAGGACGAGAGTCCGTGCTAAAGGGGAGAGCCTGCAAGAGCTGGCACAGGATTTGGAAAGAATGGCACACAAGGCCTACCCAACTGCGCCACCAAATGTCCTCAAATTGGTTCTGAGGGATCAATTTGTAGATGCCTTGGACAGTCCACAACTGATGATACAAGTAAAGCAAGCATACCCCTCAACTATGCAGGATGCGATGGCCTTGAATTCGAATCCTATGTTAAGTCCAGCACAAAGGTACCAAGGTTGGTACAGTCATCAGGATTCAAGGCCAGAAAAGGGCAGCTTTCAGAGAAGTTTGAGGGACTTTGCTGGCACTGTAACAAACCTGGGCACAAGAAAGCTCAATGCCGGAAACTTCAACACAGGAAAGATGCCTCAGCAGGAAAGGCTGCTACCCAGAAAAGTTGTTGGAACTGTGGAGAGCAAGGGCATAGGAGAAGCCAGTGTAAGAAGAATGCTACCAACAAGTCAGTCTCTGGGAGACCAGTAGTGGTTGGTGTTGAGGGATGCCCACCAAACCCAATCGTGAAAGTCCCAACAGCTAGGTGTAAAATGCCAAGAACACATAATGTCTACGTGACTGGAAAGCTGGATGGCCAAAAGTGCAACTTTGTCATAGATTCTGCATCTCAGCAAACCCTTGTGAGTATCAAGATGCTGGATCACAAAGGAGTACCAGAAGCCATACAGAAGCTCTGTGGTGTGACAGGACATTATGCAAGGTTGTGGGGACCAGTGTGGGTAACTATTGAGCTCATGGGCATGAAGGACAAACACAAAGTATACTTGGCTGACATTGAAGATCAATGCATATTAGGGTTGGACTACTTACTACCGAGGAAGTGTGTAGTTAATTTCGATAAAATGACATTTGGGAACAACAAAGGCCAAATTCCGGTAAGTGTTGCTGCATCTGTTAAATCTCATGGAGATGCTGATGGACTGAGAGATTGAACTAACCAGGTGTCATCAAGCTGAAGTCAAAGTGACTTAAGGAGTTGATGATGGTGAAGAGGAACCAGGTATAGATATTAAATCAGAGCTGGAGAAAGACCAAGATTTGAAGCCAATAATTTATTTTCTACAAGCAAGTGTTTTGCTCCCTGCTTGGGAGAAGGTGTCAAGTTTAAGCCCTGTGACAAAGAACTATTGGGTACAATGGGACCAGTTGAAGCTTGAAGATGGTATTCTTGTACAGAGATGGGAAACTGTAGATGGGAAACAGCTATACCGAGAAAGTTGTGCTGCGTCAATCCCATGATAGTTTAACAGGAGGAAATCTCGGAGTTAAGAAGACATTGATTCACCTACGACAGAGATTTTACTGGATAGGTATGAAGCAAGATGTGGAAGAATGGTGCAGGACATGCAGTACATGTTGTGCTAAAAGGAGACCCAAGCATAAGGGATGTGCTCCAATGAAGTTATATCAAGTTGGTGCACCAATGGAAAGAGTAGCCATTGACATTGCTGGTCCTTTGCCCCAAACTTGTGCTGGAAACAGGAACATTTGTGTGGTGATGGATTATTTCACCAAGTGGCCTGAGGCATATGCAATACCAAATCAGGAAGCTACAACTGTAGCTTCGGCTGTTAGTGACTTCTTCTTCAGATTTGGTATGTCATATGATCTGCATTCAGATCAAGGCCGTAACTTCGAATCAGCTGTGTTCCAAGAATGCTGCAAGTTGTTTGGCATACGAAAGACCAGGACAACGCCAATTCACCCACAGTCTGATGGGATGGTAGAAAAGTACAATTGGACAGGAATTGGCAATGTTTTGTAATAGCCGCCAAGATGGCTGGGATGTCTTACTTCCTACACTGTTGATGACCTATAGAACAGCAGAGCATGAAGCCACTGGATACACTCCAGCTAAGCTGATGTTTGGTCGGGAACTTCGGTTGCCAGTGGATCTGATAACAGAACTCCCACCTTACAAAGAGTTGCCTGAAAATGTGTCAGAGTTCGTGAAAGAGTTATCTGAAAGGATGGATGATATTCACCATCAAATGTGTTCAAACTTGAAAACGTCTGCTGATTCCATGAAGCTATGTTTTGATAAGAAATCTACTGAAGTCAACTTTGTACCAGGAGACAAGGTGTGGTTGTATAATCCCAGGAAGACAAAAGGGAACTCTCCTAAGTTGTCTTCTCCATAGGAAGGCCCATATGACATTGTGGATCGTCTCTCAGACATGACTTTCCAAATAAAATGTGGTCAGCGAGGTAAGCCAAAGGTGGTGCATGCCAACAGGCTTTGGCATTATCACGGTCCAGGACATTGCAGTTGGAACAAAGTTAACAATGGAACAAATGACGCTGCTGAAGACGTGTCACCTGAAAAAGCCACTGTTAAAGAAGAAACTATACCCGGTTTAGAGAAGGGAAACAGTGAAGCCATTAATGAAGTTACTGCCACTGATGTGACTGTTACCGATAACGGAACATTTCCCGATGGAGCAAGTGAACCCCACGTGAAGCAGAAGCCAACGAGACCGAGACCAGTACGGAAGAAGATACATCCCGTAAAATTAAGATACTTTGTTGAATTTTAATCTTGTGTTTGTAAATTTTGTACATTTAATTAAGTTATTGTTAATTTTCTATTGGTTTAAAGTAAGTGAATATTGTTCAGGACGAACAATACTAAGGAAGGGGCAGTGTTACGACAGCAGAAGTCACGTGAAAGTGAAAGATTTGAGAGGAAACGTATTACAGAGAATAGATCGAACAGCAAAGAAAAAAGTGAAATAAATAAGTACAAATAAAAACATAAATTTCACTTACTACACGCTTAATTCTTACTTGTGTAATTGGCTAACTTCTACACCATTTGAACTTTTCTGGGTGTTGTAACAGGGAAGAACGTAGCTTATTTCTACAAGAGATTGTACGACTGTGTTTATTACACACCTTCAAGTCAGACCAAGGTTCTAGTGTGATATTCCATAATCCTAGATTGCCTTGTCAGTGGTAAGTATTATTAATATAGTCAAAGAGACATTAATTTTCATGTGGTACTAACTCAAACAAACCTCTCCCCAACCCATTCACTTGAATATGACCCATAACTCACGGGAATAATGATACAGAAACATGGCCAAGCGGAAATAAGCTCTCTGGAATGGTCACCGTGACATTAGCTTTAGTCTAAGGCAAGGGTTAAAACAAAGTTTAAGATTACTTACATCCTGTTCACAATGACGTTAATTAAATACACAGCACTTCCAAGAAATATTTTGAAAACATATCTCAATATACCCGAATAAATATGTATATTATTATTTCCTATTTAAAGAGTGGTTAAGCCTAGTACTTGTCAACTGCTATAAAATTATCCCTTACTTATCTCAATACCTTCCTAGGCCCAAGCCTTTACAATTAACTTTAAATGGCTAAACGTTTATGCTATTAACTAGTATAGTTCTGCTTTACATAAATAATTCCCTTTAAATGACATGCACGATGCCATGGCATTTACACATGGACAAAGTATTATCGAAGAAAAAATACTCTGACAGCAAAATTTAATTTAAGTAATTATTTTTGTTTGTTGTTAAGTGCAAAGCTAAACAAGGAGCTACCTGTGCTTTGCCCACCGCGGGTATCAAAACATGATTTTTTGTGTTATAAGCCCAGTTAAAATATTATAAAACTTAATACAAAACTTCTTTATTGTACAATATTGTTGTTAAAGAACTGTTAATGTTACATGTTTCAAATCTTTTATGTATCTGTAACAATTACACTCCAATTCCAACTGCACTGGCCTCAGTATTTGATGTGAGTGGTTAGTCTTAATGAGGATAAGCTAACACAGGTGCTTCGATGAAAACATGCTTTATACACTAGAATGCTTGGTAACCTTCATGTGTCCCCTCAAAGTACTCATTAGTCTTACTTAGTGTAGACATGTGGTGCATCTGTCTTATAGAAATTGGTTACAAACCTTTAATAGTCTTCTCATTTAGTCTCAGGCTGAGTCCAGTTCTTGACCACTTCAATCGTCATAGGATCAGTTAACTCTCCATACCTTCTTACTATGTGAACGAGAACTGTATACCCATGTGTCTTAACAAAGAGTTTTCTCGTTTCTTCGCTACACTGAAATATCATTCTCAGGTTCTCATAGGTAGTCTGAAATGTGTCACTAAAAATCAAAATGTCATATGTACAAATGAAACATTCATCATTGCAGTCCTCTAAGTGTAAGGTGTATCAGTCCCTTGAAGAGCTGGTGGCAAGACCAATATCACAATATAGGTGTAATTGTTGTAATCATTATTACTTAGGTTGCTACAACATTATTCTCACCTATCAGCAGGATATGGAAAATGTAATATCCAATGACCTGGTAAGACACAGTTGATAAAGATGGATTGTCTCTTAGACTCCAAGTTTCTTCTAGAAGGCATTTACTACTGCATAGGTGGGTTAGTAATAGCATTTAGGCATTGGAAGCTATGTTCTCTCATGGGAATGCATACCAACATCACGCAGTGTCTTCAGCAGTAGAGCTGTCAGTCAACATTTTAGTTGAGACTTGGTGAATCTTGTTGACTTCTGAAACTGTTTAGATGCAGAATAATGGCACCAAATGTATATTCTAATAACTTAGTTTGTGGCATTCACAAGCAACAGGTAAGTGTTAAGCCTGCATACAGGAGGTTTGAAAGATATATTTGCAGAGAATAAGTTGAACTGCAAATAAAAGTCTCAAATACATTCATACAAACAAAAATACAATCTTTATTGAACACATACATTCGGTTCTTACTCTTATAACTGGTCAGCTTCTATGCTGTTGCAGCTTTTCTGACTGCTGATCTATACATTAAAGGTAGAGATGGTGAAGCAGAAAGGGTTTCATCAAGGCACTTTGCAATCCTTCAGTATAAGGTAAAACTGAAGACAAAGGCATAGTTCTTACCATGGTTGAAAAGAGGCATTTGTACAAAAAATGACTTCTTATAATCTTTGTTGTATTCTCTGTTTGTGTCCTCACCTCTTCTACAGCTTCCCCCTCTCTGCCATTAAGTTCTACAACGTCTTAGGAAATATCTTTCCCAAATCATGGTTTACAGACTTAACAGCAAACAACGAGTCAAACAGAGGAAAGAAGCACATTCAAAATAAACTTTGGAAAAAAACAGATGCTCTCATGATGCCAAAATTGTATCTTGATAACTTAGTATGTAGCATTCACAAGTAATAAAAGAGCCAACAAGTAACTGTAAAGTCTGTGGTTTGGAAAGAAATGTATTTCATAGAATAAGTTGAACAACAAAGGAAAGAATAATATATTAATCCAAACAAAAATACATTTATTGAACATATAAACTTGGATCTTGGTCACTGTCTATATGTTGTTGCAAAATTTCTGGCTTCTGGAGCACGGAAAATCACAACTATTGCAAGTGACTACATGACTGTGTCTACATCACAATCTCAAGTCAGATCAAAGTCTTAATGTATATCACAATCCCATATTAGCTATACCATTTTCACAACACAAGTTCAAGTGGAAATTAACCTCCAGTTCATACGAATTTACACAAATCCCTGCACTATTCTTCACTTAAGTATGACATTGAGGAAAGATAATACAGAAGCATTGACAAATTCTGTGAAGTAACCAATGTGGTATATCAGCCCGAGATGAATGTCGATTAATGCACAACACATGCACACAAAGTTTTAAAATTTGTTTCTGAATACACATGAATAAATATACATATTAGGTTTCTGTTACGGAAGAGTATATATTCTAACAGTTTTCAACTGGTACAATGGCACCATTTTTTCAATGTGTAGTGCGAAATCATAAATTAAAAGCAATAACATTCCATTTGTTTGTGTGATCTGGATATTAGTATGAGAACCTTGTATTTCCAACTCTTAATCTGTGTTTATCAATAATTTATGAATTGATAATTGTAAGATTTTAAAAATCTTACACGAATGTTCTGGAAGTTTACAGAAGAAAACGTTATGCTAAGGATGACGTTAACATTTTACATATTCAGCTTATTCACTACTGCAACATGTGCAACACTAGATTAACAACTTGCAACTGGGCGTTTGGTATGAATAACTGAATCACTACATTTATCATTTAGAAAACAAAATTAAAAAAGGAGTAAATCTTCTTCAAGATACATCTGGGCTTCACTGAGTTTCAACTGCGTACTATTAAAAAGACTTGTCTAATATTTTTTGTGTAAGAAGTGCTACTTATATTGCTTATACTACGTTGTAAAATAGTTTAGAAAGATAAAATCACTCTCAATAACTTCATGTTTTCCTTAGATATGTACAAAATTTATTAATACTTTCATAAATTATCATACCAAATACCTTGATCATCAAATGCATGTGTCAGTTCGTGTCCCATAACAACTCCCATGGCTCCAAAATTCAGGGATCTGTGTAAAAAAAGCTTTTAGATACAAAATCAGATGTCTGCTGTAACAAAAAGATTATGTTCTGTGAAAATCTGTTTAACAGTTTGAACGTTTGTAATATTTTTATCACCAAAGTTGGGTATCTTCACGAAAACGAAAACCTCTCGCCGAACATTGTCTATTATCTTATTTCCCTGTCAATGTTCCCATCTTCATTAAAAGGCGTAAGATGACAAAAACAAAATCTAGAAGAATCTATTTATATACTACTAAAACTCTGAGATTGTTTGTTTGTTTGCTTATTTTCTCAGTCAAAAAATCATTCACACTACCGTTCGCGCTCTTTACGAAACTTCTTCGTTCAAATCTATTTCCCTTTCAATGTTCCCATCTTCAATAAAAGGCTAAGATGACAAAAACAAGATCTTGAAGAATTTCTCAATAATGTGCCTTGGTTATGGTTGGTAATTCGAAAAAAAAAATAAAGTGTTACTGTTTCTTATTTGTAGAAGGTTTAATAGGAGAGACCAAAACATAATGAACTAATTCATCACAATACCTGAAAACTCTGACTTCACTTTTTTCAAAAATGAAATGGTCTTTACTTTTACTACCGATCAACAATAAAATATTATTTCTTGAATTATGAATAACATGAATGGATTAAAATATTTAATTAAATTATCTCAAAATAAACCTTCATTTCAGTGCAAGATTGAAATTAACTCGAATTCTTCATAACCTCTGAATAGTGGGTGACCCAACGGGTCACGGGTTGTCTAGTAAATCATAAATGTAGGGTGGACACAAAACTATTTTGTTTTTTCATATCATTAGCCCGAAAGGGGACCAAAGGCCGCCTGGAGGGATCACTTGTTTTAACCACTCGCACCACTATACAGTAGTGTGTTGTTGTTGTTAGTCAGAAAGTCAGGGACACTAAAATGAGGTCACATAAGGGACGCTTAACGTTGAAATTTGTACTGTCGTGACGTAAATAAAACGTGCGCATGTCATGAATCACGAGTAGAATTATGCACTCTGTAGGCCACAACACAGAATGACATACGAACTTCAAAAGCAAGAAATAAAAATATTTGTTACTCTTAAATTTGTTTTTATTTTCTCTTGAAACAGAACATTTTCAGGGACTCTGTGGAAGTAAATCTAGTTTTTAGAATACCTTTGTCAATAAAATTTAATAAATAATTAAAACTAACGTTTCATATTTACACAATTTTAAAAACTTAATTGAAGCCATCAACGACTTCTACTTTATAAGTACACTCTACATCTACAATGTTTCGACGTCTTTTTCAGGAGTTATCTGCAAGACATACTAATTTTTTCCCGCCACGTGATATTACATTGCTTTTTGTATTCATATAATTCGTTGGTCAACTTTTATATTACATCATGCCAAATATCAATGCTTTGACTTGATGGTCCTTCATCTCTGTTTAATAATTCTTTTACATTTTATTATTTCTGCTGATTCTCTGACATCTAAATCTGCAATGTTACGAAGTTGAGCTAAATTTGTAGTTTTTCCCCTAAACTTTTGTGTCGTGTTGTTTTTACAGGTTCTGCAATAGCTGAGTTTTCTTTTTTATTATTTCTTACGCAACTTTCATATTCCTGTAATCTGTATTTTAGATTTCTTTTAGTTTGACCAATATAAATACTCCCATATTCACATTCTATTTTGTAAAT